TGCTGTAGCCCTCAGCTACCTCCAAGCCTGTGGCTTTCCTTGGGAAGGGCAGTGTGAATTAGTTGGTATTGATTAGTTCTACAACAGCTGGAAAACTGTTTGACACAAAATACCACAGAGGCCAAGAGTTCAGAGAGCGTTTGAGACCTATTGTTCTCGTTACACAAACCCCAAATGTTGTCCTGTGTCAGATGGTGTGGGAAATGCCTGCTGGATATTGACAGCTGGCGTTCGCTTATCTGCCATTAACTACAGGTGACCTATGTTTGCAGAGAAATTCTGCAACCTATTCCATAGCTGCTGTTTGCTGAATTTCTTGCGCTTTCCCAAAGTATTTAGTTCTAGCATCTGTCAGACAAGACTTTAGACTAGCTGAACTATTTCTCCAATTAAAAAATAGGAATACCTTTTTTGATATCTTTGTGCAAGACCTCATGCGTTTCGCTAAGAATATTCTTTTACTGTATGTATTGTGATATTTTTTATATTTTTTTTATATAATTCTTTGTAAAACATGTCGTGCTGGCTCATGTTCTATGTTAGACAGAAAAACATTGTGGTACGTACTTATGGTGCTGATAGAGTAGGCCCTAGTCCCAGTAAGGGTTGCGTGGGGTAGCAGAGTTTGCGAGGGCTCCTAGATCCTGATCCTTTTAAATGACACTAGTGGTTGTGATATGTTTGCATGGTTCTTGCTCATTTTCAGGCAAGGCCACAGTGTTCACTCAGCACCTTGGCACCAAGCCTCTGCCTCCTACATGTACCTGCTGTAAAGATCTTCATACCTAGGTTATCTTTGTCTTTAACTTTATAGCCTGGAGTATACATGGGTTAAATGCATGGTATAAGTACCTCCTGTTGGCATTGGGGAAATGGAAGAAATTGGAAAAAAAAAGATTTCAAGCTCTTGAACAGTTTGTTCAAGTGACTGAAAATGTACAGTACTGGCTTTGTCGGAAGGTACTGCTGGTATTCACGTCTTCTGCAAATTGGGACACAGTAACTTCTTATTTTAAAGTTAATGTGTCTTATATAGTTCCAGCAACTTTAAAAGCTCTAAGAAAGAAAAGGAAAAGAAATTAGAAGTGCAACACCTATAAGGATGTTCATAACCTCTATTTGAAGCTTTTAGTCATTTCTTCCTGCAGAGATCTACCTCTGTTCAGACTACATATGGTCCTTGGGCTACTAGCCCAGGCTTTCTGAATTTACATCTAGCATAGATGAATAAAGAAAAGACAAATCTCCCCTTTCCCTAGAGGGAGGAGAGGATGATTAAAAAGGCTTTTGTGTGTAGATACTTTTCCCCCCACACACTTTTGTTGGGTGGGGCCTTGGCTTTTGGGGGGAATTTTTTTTAAACTTTAAGTTCCCCATGGTTATTTTATAAGGCTGATAACCACTGCCCAAATCTCTGTTCCAACAGTTTGTCTTCCATAAATGAAGCTATATCGTCAAAAATTTGTCTACATGCTGTAGCTGCATAAACATCCAATGTTGATTAAATTTGAATAATAGAAATAGGAAAGTGCAATTTACAACAAAATAAATAGATACTATATTGTATTGAAACATTATACAATATAAGTGGAAGTATTTTGATGTTCCTTTGTTCTGTGTGTCTTACCTCTTATCTCTGTTTGTCGTTTCCTGTTTCTGTCTTGTGCTTTCTATCTACAAAAACCTGCTGTAGGCCAGTGTTACGTGGTGGGTCAGCTGCTACCACTTCCTCTAACCCTCATCATGACAACACCAGGTAAAGAGTATTTTTTTGTTAGTCATGATACACTAATTTAGATTCTAAAACTCAGACTTCTGTTTCCCTGTTTCCAGCATCCTTATTTTAAAACACAATGCTCACTTCTATCCTCCCTCTTCACTCTTGAGATATTTCAGGCCTTTATTCCTTACCCTAGACCTCACTTGTCTAATAGATACAACGTGCTGCAGAATTCAGACTCAAAGTAGTGTGTGAGGAGAGGCTCTTAAGTTACATTAGCAGTATACTTCAAGTATTGTCTATTTAGTAATGACTTTCATATTTTTATTGCTAGAAAATTTGTCCTTGCATCACCTTATTTTTTTCCAGATGTTCTTAGTAACATGCCGGGGGCTGTCAGTTGTAGCTGGATGCCTTTTCACTGCCATTATCTTGGCAGATTGACATTGTTTCAGTGGAACTGAATGTAAGATTGACACGTAATCTCATGGTCAGGAAGAAAAAAAAAATAAAATAGTCCACATCTGTTGTTCCCATTTGCCACTACATTTCTGTGTTTTCTTCAAAATGGAGGTTACGTTTGTGCTTAAGTAGACACTGGATTCAAGCAGGTGATTGTTCTGAATTCAGGAATTCAGTTTTTGTAATGGTCCAAGAGATTATATCAAGGGATTTCTTGCTGGTAACCCTCTTGATTTAATACCTGGAATGGTTTGGAAGTTGGTAGAGCAGCAGTGATACACTGTGACTTTGTATTAAACTTGTGTGACCTGGGAGAGGTGTGCCCGTCTCGCCAGAATGATAAACCTCTGCTTTTTCCAGGAGATGGTGAGGGACAACTGTGCTGTGGGTCTGATAGGATTTTTAAATTTTTTTTTTTACCATCTACTACAAATTAAAAAAATGGCTACAAAAAGACCTTCCTCAGAAATCTCTTTGGCTTTCAGAGGACCTGTAGTAATAAGGAGAACTTGATTTATTTTTTTTATGTGCACAAAGCTTTAGACTTTTGTTTTAAGAGCAGAAATGTTTGAATTGTTTTATAATTAATTTAGGCTTATTTTAAATAACTTTGAGTTAGCAATGTGAGCTTCACAGCACTATTAAATACTTCGGTGTAAAAGCAGTATCTGCACTTAAGTGCACTCTACAAGCTTCAGGAATTCTCGTATTCCCATTAGTTGAAGTTGACCATTGACTGTCATTAAATGCTAAAGCGCTTTTAGGTGTATTTTGTTGTGAATTTGGTAGCCTTGATGTTTTTTTTGTTCAATTTCTTAAGCTGTCTGCAGCAGTTATTCATATGTCCTAATGAGAAAGCAAGTCAAGGGGAACGAATACTGGAAACTGAGGTTTTAAGATGGAAGTGAGAAACTCAGTGGTAGGTGCAGCATCAGGAACTACTTGTACCTGTTAGTTGTTGGAAAAGAATCTGGTTAAGAGGTAGCATTTGGATGATCAAAACACACACTTTATGTAGACTTTCTGCCACTTCCCAACTGATAATAAATGTGCCATATTTAATAACTTGCCCTGGAGTTAGAATGATGCTTTCTCTGAATCACTGCATTAAGAAAACTGAGAGGTGCTCAGGTGCTCTCTAACGCATGCAGAGTTCAGCAAGCAGTGACTCTGTGCTGGACTCTTGATTTGCAAGGTTCTCTGCCTAAAGTACTGAGGTTAATGTGACTGAGATCATGAATCTCAGCAGGTGTCTGCTTGGGATATATAAGTAGGTACCGAGCATAAGACACCCAATTCTTTCCAAGTCTTCATTTGGTTGTTTCTAATCTGTTGCCAGGTCTCTTGCAACTTTGGCTTTTTAGCTCAGGCAGTTTTCAAGTATTCATTAATCAGTTAAATAACGAGAAACAGTCTTTTGAGAGACCCAAGTGACAGCAAGAAGTCTGTCTGCGTGGAGGATCTTCAAAAATATTTAAGTGCGGAGAGTAATAAACCTGAATTCAGTCAAGCACTTACCCGCTTCATATGTGTTTGTGCTTTATTCAGTTAGGATCCTCTTGAAACAGACAACTCTATAAAAGCTGGAAAAAAGGTGTTATAATTCTTCTGTCACCATCAAAAATACACCTGCTAGAATGCTGATAATATATGGTATTTGCTAATCTTTGCACGGATGAGACGGCTAAACTATCTCCCTTATTTGATAGATACGGTCTTTCCAACTTGGATACTACGCTTGAGGGGACACCGGATGACATGACAGTCGTAGATGCTGCTTCCTTAAGAAGGCAGGTATGTAAAGCATCGTCGTTGATAATATTAAGAAAAAGCTGTAGCGGTAAAATGGGGGAGGAGGTTTTCTGTGTGGCTGCAAAGGTATCCATAACCAATATGATGAGAGATCCTCTGTACCCCTGTGGGACTGCCCTCATGTGTCCTGTATTGTCCTGGCAGTCTGGAGAGCCTGACTCCATTTCTGTCCCTGCTTACTAGGGACAGCAAGATCTGATCACTAGCAATTGAAGATAGAAAGTAAAATTATCAAGCGTTTACAGTCCATCTGTCTGAGATACTAACTTTACACGGCTATTCAGAAGCTTTTAGAAAGTCTGGCAAATCGCAATGACGTATTAAAAGCCTTTATTTATTTTTAGATAATTAAACTTAATCGCCGTCTACAACTTCTGGAAGAAGAAAACAAAGAGCGTGCTAAAAGGGAAATGATCATGTATTCAATTACTGTAGCTTTCTGGCTACTCAATAGCTGGCTTTGGTTTCGGCGCTAGACCGCTCTCGGGAAGATTTAATAGTTGAAAACACAAACAATTTGCAAAATTCTTTCTGTTTCTGAATTGTATGCTGTTTTATAATTCATACACTGGAAACTTGCACCACAGATAAAGGCTATAGAATTGCAGTGTTAAAAGGACACTTTGTTCAGTTATAATGTATTTAATAGATTTGCATTGTAAATACTTGCAGTATCCTCTTTGCATGCTTCAATGTAAATGTGGATCAGCTGATGCGAAGTTTGCCTCATGCAGCGTGAGGACAGTGATCTGTGGGAATAACCACTGGATGTTTTGTTGTGGTGGGAAGAGAACAAATGGGAGGGGTTTGGAAAAAATACAAAAGAATAAAAAGCAATTCTTACTGTTCTGTTGTTAGATGCAATTAAACATGATTGCACTAGTGTCCTCCTTTAGTCCGAGTAGTTTGAGGTGTGCCATATTCAAGGAGTGTGTCCTGTTTCATGAGTATGTTCCTTGTTTAAGCACATGTTCGGGTCAAATAATAAAAGGTATTCTTTGCTAACATGCAGATTGTGCAGAGGTGTGTAATATGTATTTTTTTTTAGCTTTAATTTTGCAATGTTTTTATAGAAAATACATTTTTAAGCAAGTCAGCCTGTGAGCAATCAAAAGATTACAGAGTACAAGATACTGATGTAGTATGTTTAATAAAACTCTCAAAAAAAAAAAAAAATCCTAAGCCCTTGTTCATTATTTTAAGAACACTTATTTGACGGTTCATCTACACTAGTAGTCTTTGAATAACCCAAAAGTAGCGGGTGGGCATCCAACAGCCGGCTGCAGGCTACCCTCCCCTGCACCTTGGGGTGGTTCTTGGTGCGTGGGGCGAGGACGCGGGTGGGGGAAGCGAGCCTGGTGCCCCCGCGTACCCTGCTCGCTTTGAACATCCCCGCCCAGGCCCGCCATCGGCT